AAATGAAATTTAGTATGATCATTAATAATGATGAGATCTTGGACAAGTTCGAAGTTGGCTATCTTTCGATGAACGTTTTNTGAGTTATTGCCCTAGATTTATAAAAAATGCGTCAAAATTTGTTTGTGAACACAATAGAGGTTACAGTTTTCATCTGATTTAAATGAAATTTAGTATGATCATTAATAATGATGAGATCTTGGACAAGTTCGAAGTTGGCTATCTTTCGATGAACGTTTTTTGAGTTATTGCCCTAGATTTATAAAAAATGCGTCAAAATTTGTTTGTGAACACAATAGAGGTTACAGTTTTCATCTGATTTAAATGAAATTTAGTATGATCATTAATAATGATGAGATCTTGGACAAGTTCGAAGTTGGCTATCTTTCGATGAACGTTTTTTGAGTTATTGCCCTAGATTTATAAAAAATGCGTCAAAATTTGTTTGTGAACACAATAGAGAGTACAGTTTTCATCGGATTTAAATGAAATTTAGTATGATCATTAATAATGATGAGATCTTGGACAAGTTCGAAGTTGGCTATCTTTCGATGAACGTTTTTTGAGTTATTGCCCTAGATTTATAAAAAATGCGTCAAAATTTGTTTGTGAACACAATAGAGAGTACAGTTTTCATCCTATTTAAATAAAATTTGGTATGATCATTTATAATGATGAGATCTTAATCAAGATTAAATTTGACAATTTTTCGAATAATGTAATTGGAGTTATTGCCCATGCATGACTTAGTAAAAACGCATCAAAATTTTTTAGCGATAGAAGTGATAGTTAATGTCAGAATTTTATTAAATAATGTTTGTTTAAATCAACAATATCTTACACAAATTAGATTTTTGGTATGATTTGACACAGATAGGTGACTGCCCTTGATATACTGAAAATGTTTCAGGAAAGTGGCCGTATCTTGCTAGACAACCACTTGTTTTTAGATCATATTCAGTATTGATTCGATTGTGTGCCAATCAAGAACATTGTGCTGACATATCTTACAATTTAAAGGGACAGCTGTGCCATTTTTTCATGGTTGATTTTAGTCTTGAATATATGTAAATAGTATTCAGAAGTACTAGAAATGTACAAATTCACATAATTACTTCACTATTTCTATATATGACGTTTCTATATATCACACAGTATCTTCAATTGATGAGTCGTCATCTTAACCATCTTAATGCATATAATTCTGGACACACATGATTTTGAAGGCTCAAATTTCAACGGCGAGCTGTGAACACTATAACTGATTAGCTTAGCTATAAAATATAAGGGAAAGATGTGAAAAAAAACATGTAGTTTGTCATGAGAATTTAAAGAATTATGTTATTTTCAGGCATATGGTGGTGCCTATGATGTGATGAGTTCCAAACATTTAAGAGGTGATATTAATTATGCCTGGCCCACTGCTGAAGTAGCTGTAATGGGAGCTAAGGTAAAATTTCAGGACATAGTACAACCAAAATAGTTTCGTTTGCATTTTTTTGAAGACCTAAGAACCAGGCCCTGTACTTGAAAGGATCTTATTGCCAGGATGTCCTAGGGTCTTAACTTATAACACTGTATCTAGGTTTCTAGGATACAGGGCTAGAACAGATATGTGCAAACAGTAGCCAAATTATTAACTTGCCTAAACATGAAACATTAATGATTCTCTTACCTATGCATACGATTTTTTTGTCATTTTTTTCATAATTGATGAGAAAAAGGCCAAATGTCCCAGTTGAATGGTAGAGTTCTTATCCACTAACTTGCTTGGGTTATACAATTACATACAGTCTCCCTTAAATAGATTGTAAAGAGGTTTTCTAAATTTTTTATGAGTATGGGTTACACTGATAGCATCAATTTAAACCATTCCAATTTTCAGTCAGATATCTGTGGTTCCTGCAATTCCACTAAAACTAAGTGACGTCAACAAACACTTGGTTTTAGTGGAATTGCAGGATCCACAGACATCTGATTCAAATTGGAATGATTCAAATTGATGATATCAAAACCTCTTTACAATCCCTCAAAGATAAATTGATTGAGTAAGCCTTTTTTCAACGTCAATGTTTGAAATAATTTTGTTGATATTTAATTCCAATTACTCTAAAGCTAATTTTATGGTCAACTGGTTGTGTATTAATATCTTAATAACTATATACTTAGCTGTTAACAGACTGTTAGACCAGTTAGCCTGATAGAGTTCTTTCCCTTTAATTATCTCCTCTAATTTATAGGGAGCTGTTTCTATTATATTCCGTGGTGGTCAAAATCAAGCCGAACAAGAGTTAGAATATATTGATAAGTTTGCTAATCCTTTCCCAGCAACTAATAGAGGTTTGTTTTTATTCTCATATTGTTAGAGTTACATTCTTATACTCAAATTCTGCCTTAACCAATCAAATTTCTTCCCTCGTCAGTGCTTGGATTTTGTGATGTGAACAAAAGGTGTATTTCCAGAAGCATAAGACAAGTTTATCAAGTCAACTGAAATTGGAACACACCTTTTCCATTGGACCCAGTTAATTTTGATTGGTTAAAGCGGGGGTCATCAGGTTAGGTCAAAAGGTTATTGTTTAAAAGGAGCTGTCATTAGGGTCTTAACTGTAGTGTCTACATTGAAAATAAAAGCTTATAAAAACGTAAAATATAAAGTTTATTGAACAAAAATAAAAAGAAAAGACTGACAGAAGAAAGAATGGAATTTTTATATTTTACTAAATAGAAAAAAAATTCAAAATGTGCAAAATTACAAAACAAAACTTTTATAGTGAACTTTTCAAAACTACACCCCACTAGCTTGAGCAGTTCTAATTTCCAATCCATTATCTGTGGTTCCTGTAATTCTAAAATATTAATTTATTCAATCAAAAATGATAAGAGCCACACATAGCAAAAGATGACCAAAGTTAAAGATGGATTGCCTTATTTTATGGTGTCAAATTATGCAAACTACTTGCTTAATATGTGTTTCTGATGAATTATCATGAATTCTTAATCATATCATTATGTTCTTATTGCATATAATTAAGAGGTTTAATCCATGTATGTCCATGTAAGTACATTCTGGATAACCAAAAAAAAGACTTTTTGACCTTTCTTGATAGAATTCTGCTGGTAATTCTCTTCTAATTTAGCTAATTATGAATTAATTATGGACATGTGAGACAAACTGGTATTTTCCAGGTCATTAGAACACCTCTACTTTCTGTTCATATAAGTATTAGCATTTCTCATTTTCATAAATGAAAATAAGGGAACCCATCTTTAAAGTATAAGTGTTCATGATATACATACAAACACAAAAAGACTCTCTTCAAATCCCTTTAAGATTTTATTTATTGTCTATCCATATGAACATGATGAAAGAAAATTTCTGCCAATTTCAGGTTTTGTGGATGATATAATTGAGCCAGAATCAACTAGAAAGAGACTATGTGAGGATTTAGACATTTTAGCTAAAAAAGACAGAAAGAATCCATGGAAGAAACATGCTAATATGCCTTTATAAAGATATTATGGTAAATTATAGTGTGTTTTGGTAAGATTCAGTGATGATAGAAATTGTTTTACTGTAAATCATGATAGTAATTCTGAAGAGGTCTATAGGGAAAGAAAATTTTAACTATTCCATTTTGTCTGTGTCAAGCATTTTTTTTTCTTTTTTGAGGAAATATTGTGTTTGGTGTTCTATAATAACTAAATATTTGCATTTATTTATGAAAATAATATTTTGTATTATTGTGTTGTTTTGTATTTATATGAGTTGTATTAAAAGGATTGTAAAGAGGTTTTCTAAAAACAAATTGTGTGTATCAGAGACACTGATAGCATCAATTTGCACCATTCCAATTTTCAATCAGATGTCTGTTGTTCCTGCAATTCCATTAAAACTAAGTGTATGATGACATCACTTATCACAAAAATATGCTTGTATCACATAAGGATCTTTGCATTAGTGACATCAGGAACCAGGAACCACAGACATCTGATTGTCAATTAGTGTCCCTGATACACATACAAAATTTAGAAAACCTCTTTACAATCTCTTTAAGGTTACAGCAATTGGACATTTTTTAGGTATTGCGATTCTTTTTATACGCAAGCATTACCATTATGGCTAACAAAACGGGATAGTTGTTCAAATCTATCTGCACAATGACTAGAAACAATCGTGAATTGATATGAAGTACACTGTTTTGATTAAGTAAAGTTTTTATATATTTAGTTATTTGTTATGTAAACTTGTTAAATATATAAAGTTAGTGTATGTTGTTTTCTGGTGTGCTTCAAATGTTGCAAATTTGGTGCAGTTTTGTCTTTTGACTTGATATTGTATTGAATAAATAGATTTTTTTTTTTTTCATTGAAATATAGAATTCAAAGACTCAATATCTATGTAAAAGTTCTTTTATTATTGATGTTATCAACTTCGACTAAAGTCTTGACTAACAACATTATTTACATTTGTTACTGAAATTTTGATATTTTATGCCTCTATTAAAATAACAGTATTGATTTCTATATATTGAAGTGTAATCATGTAATAAAACATTGGAATCTCTAATCGAGGTGCTCTGTATACTTTCTTTACTGAGTAGATGAGAGTTATATCATGGGATGGATTTTACTTTTAGTCTGATTAGGCTTCATAATTATCCTTGGGAAATGAATGACCAAATGAATATATACTGTTTTTCTACCTTCCTGCTGAGCTGATCAAGATAGTCTGCTGTTGGAAAAGGTGGTTCAAGTTACTTTACTTTATTGAAGCCAACTGTGACCAGTCTGCTTTCGATATGTAGTCTGAGAAAGTCAGGAAAAGTCCAGGAGTCGATGAAATGAGGAAAAAGGTGAGAAACAAGTGACAGAACTCAGGGAATAAAAACTTTGCTGAATGACAAAGCAGTGATCAGGTGGTAGAAAAATTAAGTGAAATTGAGTTTTACGTCCTCCTTTTCTGCACCATAATTGTTAACTTTCATCATTTACAGCTGAGTAAATGGAAAAATAAGTTCCACTAAACCAAGCTATTATGACATTAGGGCAAATAATCACTTAAGATATAGTAAAATACGTTTATTTGTAAAGTAATATATAACAAGTGGTTGCCTAGCAAGATATGCCCACTTCACTGATAAATTTTCAGAATATCAAAGGCGGTGTCAAATCATACCAAAAATCTAATTTCAACAAGATATTGTTGATTTAATCAAACACACAAAATTGCATAAAATTCCATTCATTGAAAAAATCGTCAAATTCAAACTTGACCAAGATCTCATGAAAATAAATGATCACACCAAATTTCATTAAAATAAGAAAAAAACTGTAGCTCTATTATGTTCACAAGCCAATTGTGGACTGACAGACCAAGGCGATGAAACTATACGACCACATTATAATGTGGGCATATAAAAACAGATCAATATTATATATTGAGCAGACAAAGTAAGAGGAGATTCTAGAAAGTTATATAAAGGTTATACAAACTATATATCAAAACAAAAGGCAAGGCAAATCAAGAAACTAAACAAATAAAGATATAAAAAATGTACAACTTGTAAAAAGGCAAGGCAAGGCAAAACAAGAAACTAAACAAATGGGTTTGACCCTATGACTTAGATACATTTATGGTTTGACTTTTCTCTAGCAAGAAAGAAGGCACATGGCATTGAAGGTTTTTCAAAACAATTTGAAAAAAATTAATATCTTGTTATATCTATATTTCTGCTGTAAATGATCTGAATTTATGGTCAGCAAGAAACAATGGTACTATGTTATATTCAAAGATGATATATGAGTATATTTTTTTATGAACAATCAATTATAGTGCGTTCAACCATTTTTTAGTCATCTGAACTGGTTACACTTAAGCTGCATTAATTTGCACCTACTTCTGAGGTGGCTTAAAACCTGGCTTGAATAGTTAAGCCAGCTTAGTTTTGTCGTCTGAACGCAACTAGTTAACATTCAGCCGTATATATCATGTCTGCATGTGTGCATTCGTCTAAACAAATTCCCGCCATGATTACCTATGTCTTAACGCGCATGCATAATGGTATTATGACCTCTGAACTTCCCAATAACTTGCGAGGTAATGTCGAAGCTGGCTTAACTTAACTTAATGTCCGTCTGAACGCTCACCAAAACAGTTAACCAGACTCGAAGAATGGTTGATAGTTAAGCTGTCTTCACTTACGTCGTCTGAACGCACTATAACAGTTCTTTCTTTCACATATTTAAAAAAGTGATTCATTCAAATGCAAATTGAAATTATAATTAATGACATGACCTTAGCCCTGTATTCTCCAAACAATCTCGGCACTAGGATGTCCTAGGGTTTTAACCTCTAACACTGTTTCTAGGATATCCTAGTACTAAACTAGTTTCAAGAATATGTGGCTTGGAACTTAATCAAAAAGCTTGCCATACATTCAAGAAAAAACACTTTAAACATAAAAGAAATAAAGCTCAAGCTTAAAATGTAAATAAATTTTCAATATGGCTGAATTTTTTAAAAATCAAATACAATGTTTGTTTTTTTTTTAAATTCTGAGCGTGACCCATTTTGCTTTTGAAATAATTTGAAAAAAAAGTGTTTATTTTCAGTTATTTCTTTATGGGTTTAGTTGAAAATTCTTGAACTTGAAGAGTTTTGTCCTACCAAGTAATGCAGAATATCTCTTCCAATAATGCAGCACACTATTTTCTGAAGCAAATGGAATGTGGAAACATCCAAGATCAATTTTGTCAACCAAGACATATTTCAGTTTGGCAAGAACAGAGATACAACCAGAAAACTGACTTTTTGACAGTGTTAGGTTAGAGAACTTCACACATAGACTGGCAAACTGTTTCAAGTATGGTATACCAACACAAATTGCAGGTGGATTTTGAGCTGAAAAAAAATATTGTGTTTTAAAGAGGGTGAAAGATATTTGAGCTATGGACTCTATTTTGAATTAAAATAAATGGCCATAAATTGTGATGATCAATTATTACAGTTACCCTTCTTCTACCCTAGAGCAAACTTAAATGTTTATTTTGACACAACATCTCTGTGTGAAGACAAGTATTGTCAGTAACCATTGTTGGTTATTTCTTCATATGCTCTTTAAAATACGGTTAATTATCTTGTTTTATTAAAACCAATGTAATGATTGAATGAAATTTAAATTAAAGATAAGGGTCTATCTGTACCAGAATTAATTTTTATCCTGGGTTTAACCTTTAATAATGAGAAAATATTGCTACTAGTGAATTACCTGATACTGTTCGATTAAACAAGGTATAATTATTGATAGTTAAGGTAACTGACAAACCATATTGTGGTGCAGGAAGGTAGGAGATATTTACACATCCTAAAATACAAAAAAAACAAAAATTGATATTGAATTGAATTAAAATAAAAATGTACTTTAAAAATCTAGAATGTTTTCATTTTAAAGATGTTATTAACACCCCTACATCAACCCAGTCTAATTCCGTTATATTATTAGTTTTTTTTTTTTTAATATAGCTATTCAGTTAGAGTCTAACAACAGCCCTCTTAAACGTTCATCAAATTAAACTTTTGTCCTAACTTGTTGACATCATGGCTCTAATCAATCAAATTTTTCCAGCGCTGGCATTTTGTCAAACGGTTAATTTGACTAAGAGGGCAGTTGTTAGACTGAGGTGGCTATATTAAAAAAGAACTTATAAAAAATGGTATAACGGTCTCATTTCAATAAGACTGACAAACAATTTTTTCTGATATAATGACATCATTATTAAAACCCCATGGAAGAATGAAATGAATGACAGTACCTGTTTCATTGAGTTCTAGTTTAGGAATTTCAAACTCCTCACAGCAGCCACAGTTGTAGCCCACACAATGACAACCTACACCATGGTCTTTCTTCTTAATATCTAACAATAAATCTTAAATATCTTATTCATTAAATAATTTCAGTAATTATTATTTTCAATGGTTAATGGTTAACAATCATTGAATAGAACTCAATAATATTTCTATGGAAAAGCTAGACATATGCCATTTTGAAAAGTACCTATAGCTAATTGATTTTGTACAGTGAATACACATGTAATTAAAAACTGGCATGAACATCCAATATTTCATGTTCCTTTAGCAATGGTAAATATTATCCATATTCTAGGCAATATCTATTCTACTGTTGCTATAGGAATATGGCAAAATTTCTAAACACCAGTATTTCAGGCAGGCTATTTACCAAGATTATCTACAGTTTACCACTTCATCAAAATTTATAATAAACAAAGGATAAGACAATATTAATCTCAGTTCTCTAAAGTCATTATTTTCCCAAAGCAGAAGTTCCTCAGGGATCAGTTTTAGGTCCTGTATTGTTCATTATTTATATAAACAATATTCAAGGAGAATTAAATAGTTCAACGAGGATATTTATAAACGACATGGATCTAATAACATTATCAAACGGTTGTACAGGTTGAACAAAATGCTTTAATTAATTGGCTTTAATCCTACTCAAACATCATTAACAAACTTCAGATAGATATCTGCATGCTCGAAAACCATGAATATTTAGGTTTTAGTTTAGAATGGGACTTGAAATAGGATTCACTTATAATTGGGTTTGGGGTAGGTTGGGAAAGTCAAGTGCTCATATTAATTTAATCTACTTGCCAAAATGTATCTGAAAGTCTGAACTCTATGACTAGGCTAACCATGTTACTGTTTTCAACACATTTAGTTATTGGTGTAATATTATCTATATGAAACATGTGTGTTGATGAGCTTAAATACATGTTCTTTTTTTCACTTAATTAAACAGATGACTAATGTTTCTGCATCTTATGACAGTATTACTATTACTAATAATAGTAACAAAAATAATACATTATAATTATGAAAGCAAACCTTGAAGTGGCTTTGAGTTTTTCATGACCACAACATTTTCACCTGGTAATCTCAAACCAACCCTGGTAATAGCATTGATAGGAAATTGTTGTGATTTAACATTCAAAAAACAACAAAGGAGTAATAACAGTAATAAATTCATCAACGACAATTTAATTCCGGGCGCCATCTTGATTTCTAATAATCAGCTGATAGAAACAGGGTGTCCACTTTCGCTTTCACCTGTCAAAATCATAATTAGGCCCTATCACCCAGTCCCACTTATGGTTATTTTCGTCGATGTCTGGGTGTCAGAGACTAAACGTTTTCAAAAAGTCCAACGCTTTAAACAGAAAATAAGTCAGTAATTTTTCCAAAATGTTAATTTCGAGAATTTAATTAATTAATTTCTTTTCATTTCTTCGGACAAGATTGTCTGATCTAATCACTTATGGAAGTTAAAAACATTTGTATGTTGCAAAAGTCTGGCAACACTACTCTTTCTGACAGAAAGTCTCAATCATCTAGTCGTTTGTCAATGGACATTTTGTGCTGGATATTCGTAGCTTGTTAGCAATATGTCAGCACGTGTTAAACAATGAGATGAGGTTATATAAATCATTTTATGTCAATTTATGTAAGCTGTACAGAGTTTCAGTTTATGAAACTCGTCTGATCAATGTTACAGCAAGGTATGTACAGCAATTGCAAATTGTTAGTTTTCAGTAGCGGATTGTGTATCAGAAAACGACTGTCTCTCATTGATTTATTATATAAGGTGCTGAGTAGTTAGTTAGTTATTGTCTTGTACTAAAACGAGTCACCGAAAATTCATCGTATGCAGTGATCGTTAATCGAGATCTTATGTAATATTCAGTATTTGTTTTTGACGGATTTCTAGATACTTAGACAACAATCGGCAAGAAAAAGTGGAAAAGTGCAATTGAAGCTTTGATTTTAGTTTTGAAAAACAGCAAAATAAAAAACCTGTAAAGAGGAGAAAATCCAACATACTACTTTTAGACTGATATCTGTTTGATTCTGTAGACAGTGTAGTTCACTAATTTTGCCTACTGGATTTTCTCAACTATCATTTGACAATGGTTGGGAATTGAAATAAGGTACATACAGTCAAACTTACAAAAGATATGTGAAAAGGTCATTAAAATCTCCAGGCCTTTAGCCAGACTTGATTGTGTATGGTGTTTAGTTGCAGTAATGGAATTGGTCGGTTGTCAAAAATTATTTTGCTATCTATTTTTTCTTCGGGCCATTGCCACCTCCACCTCCCCCTTGCTCCCAGCTAAGGGCCAGAAGATCATTAAAAATATTATTATCTCTTTGTAAGCAATGATCCATGTTAAAGGGAGCATCAAACATTGAATATGTAAATTTGCAGTGAACAATTATTGTCTTAATTGTTTGGTGAACAATTGTCCAGTGAGTAACTGTTTGGTGAGCAACTGTCCATACCTCACAGATTTGATATAAATCAAGATATGTAATTATATTTATGATTAAGAAAGTATTGCAGGTACTGAGTAAATATTTAACTAGTTCAAACACTGCTTTTTTATGCATTTTAAGTGTTTTCGGTCAAAGTAATACTTGGTCCATTTGAAATAATCTGATTGGTTTCTGTAAATTTTTAGTTGTAATAATGTGAGAAGGTGAAGGAAAGGAAAACAGGTACCAGATTTATGAGCAGATTAACAATAATCAAATCAGCACCATTGATTCTTGCTGTCTTGATACCTGTATGTGGTCATCATAAATTATATAACACCACTTCCACATACAACTCCAATCAGACACCAATTTCTAGGTATGTTTTCCATCCATTGTATTACAAATACAGGTTTTGACCTGTTCTATTTAACCCGAATTAAACTAAGCCCGCTACACTTCGTTTTGGGGGTGTGGAAATGAGATTGGTGCTATTTGAATCTGACCAATCAGAGCGGTACAACAGAAATGAGGTCATGTAAACAAAACGCATCACCGCTTTGCCGCCACCTGTTTGAAGAAATAAGAACACATTCTTTCCAAGTAAGGTTTTATTTTCTCTCGGCTTCAATTCTTTAACGAAAATCCTTTTCTTTACCGGTCCGTACATATTCATCAAAATATGTAATGGCACCATGCTTTCGTATTGTTTACGTTCGCAAAGGAAGCGTTTTATAACAAGCGATTTGTTTTGATTGGCTGAAATTTGCTACCAATATAGTAGGGCCACTTTTGATTGGACAATATTTAGCTCTATGAATAGATAATTTTTCTCACGTGTGTTACCACGGCTCTGAGGAAGTATGACAAATGGGGTGTGGTTTGGACACGATGGTTTTCCATCATATTTCTTGTTTTTACTTAATTTTTGATGATGTCCCTAATTGTGAAGAGCGAAGGAACAATAGACGTCTGATTGGCAATGACAAAAATATCTCTTGTAGAAAAATGGAAAAGTCAGTTATAAGTGAAACATTAAAGAAATGCAAGGAAGAGACTCTGTGGGGAATGTTTATAGCTGATGCTGTGGCTATGCCTGTTCACTGGTATTATAACACTGATGATATTAAAAATGGTTACAGGGGCTGGTTAACCGGTTACAATGCACCTAATAACCAACATCCTACTAGTATCCTAAACATATCTAATTCAGGTATCTTCTTATTGTAAAATCTATTACACAAGACAAGTGGTAAAGAATCTGTGATTGAAATGTAGTCCTTTATTTCTAATGAGTAACAGAAAGTGGGCTATATATATTGTTATTATAGATACAAAACATTGCACAAGGAAATAACAATTTTATGAACAATTATTTAGGATTATTGTCCTGTATTATTTTATTATTTTTATACGCCCACATTATAATGTGTAATAAAATAGAAGACACACATATCATTTCACTGGTTTTTTACTGGTCTATTTTTATACACCCACAACTCTCTATGTGGACGTATATTGTCGGCACCCCTGTCTGTCCGTCTGTCCGTCAACATTTGCTTGTAAACGCTCTAAAAACTAGATTTTTTGATGGAATCAAATGAAATTCGGTATGTGTATACATATTCATAAAACAAAGATCAAGTTCGAATTTGAGCTATTTTCGATTGTTAGAAGCAGAGTTATTGCCCTTGCCCCAAAATCTTGAATATGCTATTACTCTCTTAGTTTTCAACCAATTTTGATGAAACTTAAAATGGATGTTTTGTTTTTACCATCCGCATGCCGTGCTGGGCGTATATGGGCGTACTATCTTTAGTTCATCCCATAGCGCAACAGTCAGAAAATATAGTACGCTATATTCCTTCCATCGAACAGTCCATCCACAATGTGAACTCATAGAGACCTCAGTTTGGGTCTGATTTGACACGAATTGATGACCGCCCTTTTATAAACATATAAGGTAAGTGGGCGTATCTTGGCAACCACTTGTTTGATGTTTCACATCAAGACAACAGATATTGAGTAGCATCTAAAGGAAGACGTTTCAGAACATCTTAATTAGGCTGTCCTGGAAGAGTTATTGCCCATGATTTCTTAGAATATCTCTTACAGGAGGAAGTGGTAGAGCTATTTGGGGTAAAAAGTCAGAAGAAGTAATAGGAAATGTCATATTACATGATAAATTAAAATATTGGACTAGTAAAGATAGAAAAATCCACTACCATCAAGGTAATAGAGTGTAATGAAACAATTTTTAAAGTCCATCTAAATACATCATTCCACATGAAGGATTTATTGCTTTCCAAGAGGAGTAAAGGAAGAAATATAGAAGGCTAAGTCACACAGCTATCATATTATTTTGTTTGATCAGTTGCATCATTTATGCCAAGAGGTAGTTAAGTGACCTTGAAAAACATGATACCAATCAAAATATTTGTAAATGGCACAGATTTGATATCCTACCCCAGGATCTTTTTAAGGTGGAGGGGGGCTCAACTTTACGACTCAAAAGTCATTTAAATATTTCTTAGGTGAACCGTGTCTCCCTCTCTCTTAGAAAGAGGCCTGCTGGGAAGGACCACTATCAGTCAGATAGTGAGTGGCAGCAGTTTATAGTTTTAACATCAGTGAACTTTTATTTTTTTTTTCTTGTAGGAATGAGTGCAGGAGATAATACTTTAAATCCAACAATGGCTTTACAGATATTAAAAACCATGAATAGAGTTGACCAGTACGTCACTAAACCTGATAGTGATGTAAGAGAGGCAGTTATGGAAGATTATGTAAGATTTATGACAACTCCTAATTCTCATAATGACACTTATTGTGAATCATTTCACAGATCATTCTTTAAAGACTGGATTTCTACAGATAAACATCCGAAAACTGGACAGGAAATTGTTGGTTTTGCTGAAGACAGGTAAGAGTCAAATAACAAGGTGACACAAGTTGTTATTTCACAAAACCAATTGGTTAAACTCCAGAGGGCTGAATACAAACCTCTTCTGATGGTGTACAAATGTTAAAATAATTTGGCTCTAAAATATCTATCTCTTAACTCTAGATATTAATCTGTATAGTACACAATCTCTTAATCTTTGTGTATCAACAACAAAATATAAAACCTTTGCGGATAGGTCATATATTGTAGCAGGTTATGGAACAAGTTACCTGAACAGTTAAAAACCTGTAAATCTGTTGACTCTTTTAAGAGAAAGTTATAAACACATCTTTTTAGCAGAACCTTTACCTTAAACAACTGTGAGTGTCTGTCTGTGTGTTTGAATGTGGTTGTGTGAGGGAGGGTGTGGATGTGTGTGTATAAACATTGACTATAATGTAAAAATATGTGTTTGTAAAGCATCATTGAATGCTCATGTTAGAGCTGTAATGAGTGCTATACTGTTTATAAATCTTAATCATAACTCAAGATATGGTTATCCCATTCCAAATTTATGTCTAAATCTTTTATATTTCAACTTCCGACAATACCAGAAAAATGGCAGAGCAGATCATGTCATTAGAATATTATTCATCATGGTGATTTTATAAGTGGTTTAAATTAGAAATTAAAAACACTGTACATTGGATATGAGTTATACAAATCATTATATACAATCTTTTTTTTTTTTTTTTTTTTCCCTTTAAAGATGGGTTCCCTTATTTTCATTTATGAAAATGTTAATACTTATATGAATAGAGAGTAGAGGAAAAATACCAGTTTTTGTCATAATTAATTCATAATTAGCTAAATTAGAAGAGAATTACTAGCAGAATTCCAATGAGTGATGATCAATGAAGGTCAAAAGTTTTTTTTGTTTATCCAGACTTTAAATACGTGAACATTTCTGATTGGTTAAAACTCTTAATTATATGCAATAAGAACATAATGATATGATTAAGAATACATGATAATTCATTTCATCAATTAATTTAACACTAAAAAATAAGGAAACCCATCTTAAAAAGCAATAAATTATAATTTAGATTGAAGACTTACTCTAAACATCATGAAGATCATCAGCTTTTAGCTATTGGTGCCTTAATTCCTGCAATACCTTGGGTTGTTAGAACTGTTCATCTGTCAGAAAAGGAATGTGCCAAATCAGCAGTGGAATTCTTAAAACTAACTCATCCTGTACCATCCTTATATCCTCTGGTAGAAATTTACAGCCGTTTATTACACAGTGTTATGAATGGTAAAGATTTAAGAACACAGATTTTAAAAGTTGCAGACGATCCATTATTTGGAGGCGCCAGATTCAAAAAACAGTTACTGGCCTATTCAGAGTTGGCTCAAACGTAAGCATTTTTCATTCTAAAGGGACAGCTTTGCCATCCATTATTTATTTTCTCAGAAAAGAATTTTATAGCTGAACAAATCAGTAATAGTGTGCACAGCTCACAGTCTAAACTTGAGCCTTCAAATCTATGTGTGTCCAGAATTATCTGTGTTTGAAAGTTAAAATGACTTGTCATATCTTGAGCCTTACATAAAAAAGACATGTATAGAAATGGTGTGTAAAATTCCTAGTTTGAGGTATTTTTGAAGGAAATTTGCGATTTTCAAGTATTTCTAGTACTTCTAGAGACTATTTACATATATTCAAGACCAAAATCAACCCCTAAAAATGGCAAACCTGTCTCTTTATCTGGAAATTCTGTATTATAATAGTTTCTTTTATGAAAACCTTTTTCCATCTAATATAAAAAAAAAACATTTCAATTTTATTTTTATTACAGGAAAATTGCAGGATCTGAAGCAAGACTGGAAGTATATCAAAAAGCAATTTCAAACCTTGGAATGGCATGTTACATTGATGGTGCTATGAAATCTATGTTATTTTTAGCTTATGAGTTTCATGATGATTTTGAAGGTGGTATTTTAGCAAATGCTAATTGTGGAGGTAATCCTTTTCCTACTAACTTTTCTTAACTCTTCTGTTTCCAACATTATAAAACTTCCTTTTAGAAGATGAGAGAACAGATATTTTAGTGAAATTTTGAATGGTAAGGTAGAAATGGGGTGTATTTTTAAAGCAGATGTTAAGATTCTTAAAGACATATGAAATGTAGAATATTAGTGTTAACTATGCCTATGACAAGTGTAATTATTAATCATCATCCTTGCATGAAGAAAAAATCGTGAAATTTAATATTACAAGTAATCCACTTGTTCAATGAAAGGCGTTAATTTTTAGCCCATAAACGTTTTAGAAGGTACAATTGTTGATGGATATTGATGAAACTTGGTAAAATTGTTTATTATCTCCCAAGAATGAACCCTATCACACAAATTTAGAAATAATTCAAATAGCATTCAATATTGTACTCAAAAACACTCTAGAAACCTTCATGAAATCTTCATAGTACACTGAACCATATTTTAAAGAAATTTTTAATGTATGAGTTATTGCCCTTGTTCTTTGAAACATTTTAGTAAGCACAATAATTATTGAAAGATTAAAATAGAATCAAAATGAAATTGATCAAGGAGAAAAATAAAAAGTTGCAGTTACAAATTTGATTTGTGGATACTCTATAGCAGGCCAACTGAGGCCCGCCAGATGATTTCGTGTGTCATGTAAAATTTGAGGGAAATGCGGCCCATGAGCAGATGCTACTTTTACTCTTGTCACTGTTGGTGTGCGCTGCCTATTCTGATAACAAAACCTGTTATATCCGCGCTGTTATATCTAAGTGTGATGTCAAAGTCAATCTAATCAATCAAATCGTTAACGAGGTCTGACCTTGTGTGAAACAGTGATTTTAGTAAAATATGTCTGTTATTTGCAATGCACATTGAAATATGTTATCGAATAAATTTGAAAAAATTGCATGTTTCTCATTGTTAATTTCATGATTTATTGATGGTTGGTTACGTGGCCTACTCGCATCTCCCTATAGCACAACACATGGTTAAATTTCATTAAATATGATTATTAATTAACCTCCCTGGTCTCTCTCTTTCAGGTGAAAATTGTCACCGTGGTGGAGCTCTTGGTGCATTGTTAGGAGCTGCTAGTATTTATACTAATATATCCATACCAGAACAGTGGAAAGAAGAACTAGGAGTCAATAAATCACCTTTAAAGTCTGCTATAGCTGTAATGAATGAGGCTTAAATAATGTTAAGATGCTAATATATTTTTATGCTTGGCACTGAATTGTGCTCCATTGTACTATATATATGGAAGTAATTTCTATTTATACATAAGGTATGTGACCGCTTGAAATCTTGTATAACGATATATGACTCAAAATTACTTTTTTAGGAAAAAGTAAAAAAATATTTGTATCAGTATTTTGTTAAAATGTTTTTTATTATTTTTTTTACAGCTTTACGTGGTTTTCATTCTTTGAAAATTCAAACTTTGTATAACAATTTGAGTACTCCGGTCTATTGAACCAATAACTTGTATAATAGTGCTGTATACAAGGTTTTTCGTTTTCATCCACAGAAACATTGAACCTCTTATAATAAAATATTTTACGAGGTTTTAAGTACGTGTTATTTAATTAATGGTTTTTGGGTTATTTACAATCAAGCTAAGAATACGAGGTTTTGATTACAAGATCCTCGCTTTTACAAGCTTTCAAACGGTACCAAAAAGTCAAAATAACCAAATATGGCGTATACAAGATTTCAAGCAGTCACCCACGATATTGAATATAGTGCTGTTGGACCACCCAATAAGAAATCCTTTTTATGCATCACAAACTGTGTTATTTCAATCTCTTCAACTTATAACAGATCTTCATAGAATTATAATCAATATTAGATACATGTATATAAAACTGCAATTTCAAGGTTGTGATGTTTTGGTTGTGTATATTTTATATAGTATGTTAATTTTTGGAATATGTTTTATGTTTTTATGGCAAATAAAAAGTTTTATTAAAATACAATATAATTTGAAATCATTTGGAATGAAA